AAAAATGGATGGCTTATGGCAAAAAAGAATTTACAAAAAAAGGTAATCGTAAAAAGGTGTCTTATAATTTAATTAGTACATGGGTATCAGAAGTATGGAAGGAAATCGATTCAAATATTTTGTCAAAATCATTTGAAGCAACAGGTCTTGTACTAAATCCTGATGGTTCTGAAAATTATAAAATGTCTAACCGTTTACAGTCTATTATTTCTGCTCATGTTGATGATAAAAATATAGAAGAGTTAAGCGAAGATGAAATATTAGAAGAAAGTTTTCAAAGTATGATAGAAATTGATGATGATGATATACTAGAAGAAGGTTCTCAATGCATGATAGAAGTTGCCGATAATAATGATATATCAGAAGATAGTTTTCAAAGTATAATAGAAGTTGATAGTGATATACTAGAAGAAAGTTCTCAAAGTATAATAAAAGTTGATGATGATGATGTTATATTGGAAGAAAGTTCTCAAAGCATTATAGAAGTTGACAGTGATGATGATGTATTAGATGGAAGTTCTCAAAGTATGATAGAAGTTGATAACGATGATAAAGAAAGTTCTCAAAGTATTATAGAAGTTGGTAGTGATAATGATATACTAGGAGAAAGTTCTCAAAGCATGATAGAAGTTGATTACGATGATAAAGAAAGTTCTCAAAGTATTATAGAGGTTGGTAGTGATAATGATATACTAGGAGAAAGTTCTCAAAGCATAATGGAAATTGATGATAGATAATAATAATAGATAATCATATAAGAAAGTTCTCAAAGAATCATGGAAGTTGATGATAGTCATATAAGAAAATTTTCAAAGCATAATGAAAATTGCCGAAGGTAAAGAAGATATATTAAAAATAATAAAAATTATCGCAGAAAAACTTTCTAAGCAATAGAAATAGACTAGTATTTCTAACAATAACTCTCGATAATTTGAATATAAAATATGCTTAGTACAGTATATGAATATATACTATAGAACAATCTAGCATACAATAATAAAAATTATCGCAGAAAAACTTTCTAAGCAATAGAAATAGATTAGTATTTCTAACAATAACTCTCGATAATTTGATATAAGTAATATAAAATATGCTTAGTACAGTATATGAATATATACTATAGAACAATCTAGCATACAATTAAAATAGTAATATTTTCCAAATGCTAAACTTATTTAATATTGTAAAACACATTTTATTATTTTTTTTTCCTTATTGGAAATATGAAGTAGTTGCCTTAATTTATATTGATTTTGGGCCTCAGACGGTAGTATGAATTTGTTCGCTCCCAAATCCCAAATTCATCTCAAATTAATATCTTAAAAACTTTATGAATAATCTTTATTTAAACAAATACAGTAGTATATATTCTTATAGTTATAGATAATATATTTGCAAAATACAGTATCAAGATTACTTGTTTGATTAAACTTTTATAAAAGCAATTGTTTTTTTGGAATTTGGGATTTGTTCGGGTTTTGCCAGCAAGTATAATTCCGGTATGTTATGAAATATAATGATTAAAGACGATCTAGAATATCAGAAATTTCCTTTACAAAAATCATGGGTCACATCTTTTTGCAAAGCGCAATAAATGCGTATTGTGCTTTGCAAACCTCTGCAGATCATGCTGTCAAGTGAGAATTGGTGATTCTGTAGATTTTAAGGATTTCAAATATGAATATAACCGATAGAAAATGTGGATTAATAGACAATCTAGAACCTCAGAAACTTCCCTCGATCATCACAAAAAACATGGGGGTTGTTGCATCTAAAGTAGCCATTTTATAAAGTAGCGCCTGACCAAAACTACATGCTTAATTTTAGTCAAGCACTACTTTAGATACATTATATAAAGTAGCTACTTTGGATAAATCGTTGCAACAGGTCAATTTTTCTGCAAAGCGTTATAAATGTCCAAATTTCAATTTCTCTCTGCTTTCAGGTAATAAATGAAGTTGCTATTATAGCACTTTGAAAAAAGACGTGACCCGATGATTTTTGTGATGTTAATCAAGGAAGATTTCTGAGATTCTAAATCATCTATTAGTCCATATCTTCGATCGGTTATATTAATATTATTCAAAATTGCTGGATTAAAACTTACATAATTTCTGCAGATTAGATTTTTTTTTTTTTTTGCAAAAGTGCAATAAAAATCTTAGTGTCATTAAAATTTAAGCATATAGTTTATATACAGCCATTCTATAGTGGCCAGTTCTTGTTTGATATTTAAGACCGTCATTCGAATTTTTTGCATAAATAAATAGATATATAAATAATTCAGTCATATATTATTTATAAAGTGAGTTGTGTTTATTGTTATGGCTACAATTAGAACAAAACGTCATCAGCTTGAAATTTAAATATTTTATTCAATTAAAATCAAAAATAAATAGTACAGCAATAACAATATTCTAGATTTGATAAAGTTCAATCGAGCAGTTTAGTGTGAGAAATAACAATATATGGTATTTAGGATTCGATCATTGATTCTAGGTTGTTGTTTTAAGAATCGATTTACACTTCTAGTCTTATAATTTATCGATTATAGAACTTTGAATATAATTACTGGTGCATCTGTTCCGTCCTGGTTTTAATGCAACTACCTTGTTAATAGGTAATATTAGAAGATATAATTTAGTTATTGTTTCAAGGTTCCAATGCTAATTTTTCTTCAAACAGTATATGAAAATTCGGGATTCCAAAGAAAAATCACTGTTCATTGTGTAGTTGAATGTTACAACTAGTGATGCTGGTGAAATTAAATTAGGGTGGCGAAATAATTTCACCATTTCATCAATCACTAATCGGTAATGGTGTAACTGGTGTAATTGGTGTAATTGGTGAAATGGTGAAAATGATGATGCAATGAAATGGTAAGACGGTGAGGTCGTTTTTTCCTGGAAAAGTTTATCGCATTCCTTTTTGAGATTATTGATATTTTTTTGAGATTCTTTAATCTTATTAGCGAGTTCAGCGACTTTTTTAGTGACCTTTTTATGAGTTTCATATCGAGTTCCGTGACTTTTTTTTCAGATTCTATAAGCTTCGTATCGAGGTTCATGACTTTTTTTTCGGATTCTTTAAGATTCGTATCAAGTTCCGTATTTTTTTTTTTTTTTTTTATTAACAGATTCTAGATCTTTTTGGATCTCATTCTTTTTGGCTTTAAGTTCTGAAAAACCCGATTTTTCCACCATACTGTATTAAATATTGCTTAAAACGATTATTTATCATAAATAAACTTTTGAGCAAATTTCTCTGCTTACCGCTTGTTTACGATTCTTAGCATGGGAATTAGAGTGGGCAGAACATAATTAAATTTTTTCCTAATTGTGCGCACCTGGTGTGGGGTTAGATGTGTAACGTTAATGTTTCCTCTTGTTCTATAAGTAGTATCCACTGTAGTAAATGTGACATTACTGTGTTACGGTTTACGAAATTTGTGTTGTATTTTTCTTTTAAAAAAAGAAATTTAAAAAACTTGAGGATTCTTTATTTTTTTTTAAACATGAGTGAAAAGAGCTCCGGTTCTATAATTTCTTACAATACTTTTCATCAGTCTACTGCTGAAGTGCTACTTATGCTTGGAGAAAAATATTTTTATGGTATAAATGTAGAAAAAGATAAAAATAAGGCGTTTAAATATTATCAAAAATCAGCAGAAATGGGGTACGCAGAAGGAATAAACTGTGTTGAATATTGTTATAGACATGGGATAGGAGTAAGTAAGGATAATAGTAAAGCGTTTATACATTACTTGAGGGCGGCAGATATGGGTAATGTTAATGGTACATATAATGTTGGAATTTGCTATGAAAATGGATACGGTATTAAAAAGGATAATTATAAAGCTTTTAAATATTATCAAAAATCAGCTGACATGGGTTTTTCCGTAGGAATGGTTCATATTGGTTATTATTATGGTAACAAAATCGGTGTCAATAAGAATGAGTACAAAGCGTTTGAATATTATCAGAAGGCAGCTGAATTAAATGATAATGAAGGACTATTTTGGACTGGATTTTGCTATTATTGGGGTGTCGGTGTCGAAAAGAATGAGAAAAAAGCATTTGAATATTATTTGAGATCTGCTAATTCTGATTATGATTTGGGAATTTTTAAGACTGCAATTTGTTATAGATATGGAATTGGAGTAGAGAAAAGTTATAACCTTTTTAAAAATTGGATTAAAAATGATTCTTCTCTTGCTTTTTCAATTTCTTCAATTGCTGTTGCTTATGATACATTAGATATTGATGGTTCGTTTCGTGTCGATCGTAAAATTTTTTCTCGTAATTCTTTAGTTTTTATTGTATTCATTTCGTTAGTTTTTCATGCTGCTTATTTTTCTATTATATTTACTGGTTATTATTATGGGTTTTTATCAGCTAATTGGACAGAAATTATATTAATTTTGGTAATTCTTACTTTTATTTTTGGTACAAATATTAATTTATATTTTTGGATCGCTACAATTTTTATCTTAATTTCTTATAATTCTATGTTTGATCTTGGATTTTATTTTTTTATTGTTTGTATATGGAAACACTTAAATTTTGAATCTGATGATCTTAGAAATATCCCTTTCTTATTAATGTTTCGTGGCAGAAAAAATGGCATTGTTGGTGATATTTATGACATGGTGACTATTCTTTATATCATATATTTAAGTTTTATATTTTTCATCCATATATTTGATAATCACAATGATAATTCGGCTTTTCATCGTATTAACCGAAATTCTAAATATGCGAGATGTGTTTATTGTAACAAAAATAATACACATAATGCATGGTGTATAACGTGCGATCCGGATATATTTATACTAGGATGGACAAGTGGTAATAAAGATATAGATTTGTTGATAAAAGAAATTCAGCTAAAAACTTTTGAATATGAAAACATGATCGAATGGATTCCATTTGATAGGTTGGAAGATATTAAAAAGATCGGTGAGGGAGGATTTGGTTCTGTGTTTTCTGCAATTTGGTTAGATGGTATACGAAAAATTGATAGTGATAATTATTTAAAAGCACGTTTACCATCTAGCATTATTGCGTTAAAGACTATGTCTGATATTGATAACAACTTTGAAGAGTTTAAAAATCATATAAAATGTAGAAATTTTGGTAGTAAGCTTAGGATATATGGATTGACTCAAAATCCAGAAACGGATGAATATTTCATGGTATTTCAGTATGCAGACAAAGGAAGTCTTCATAGTTTTTTAAAACCAAATTTTAAAGTTCTCACCTGGCAAGTTAAATTGAAAATACTTTTAAATATATCAGAAGACTTGTACGAAATTCATAAATCAGGGTATATTCATTCAGATTTACATTCTGGTAATATTTTGATTGATAATTATGAAGATGAAAATATTAGATCGTATATTTCTGATTTAGGATCTTCTATTAAAAGCAAAAGTAATCAAACAAATAAAATTTATGGTGTTATTCCTTATGTAGCACCGGAAGTTTTGTCGAGAGAAATGGAATTTACAAATGCAGCCGATGTGTATAGCTTTGGAGTTATTATGACTGAAATGACAACTGGACAAAGACCTTTTGATGGATATGAATTTGGAAATGAACTTGTTTTAAGGATTTGCTTAGGAGAAAGACCAGGATTTGCCCCTGGAACTCCTGAATTTTATATTGAATTGGCTAAAATATGTATGGATAAAGATCATCAAAAACGACCAACTATTTGAAATGTTTATGAAAATATTAAAAAATGGTATGAAATTATAAATCTTTCTGATGAAAATGATGTTAAAAAAAAAATTTTAAAGGCTGATGAAGTAGTTAGAAAGATGTCACCAATTTCGGCAAAACATTCCAATCATATGTATACGAGCAAAGGTATTTATTTATCTTCAAAAATAT